ATTTTTATTGTGGAGGGTGTTAATCATAGATATTATCATCTTCATTATTTTAATTTTAGAGAAATACATGAAACAGTTTCATTAATGTTAGAGAAATACATGAAACATTTTCATTAAATATTATATGAAACAATTTCACAACCATATATGAAACAACTTCATCAAAAAAAATATTATATGAAACAATTTCACAAGATTAAACAATTTCATGAAAAAACTTCATAAGATTAAACAATGAAATCGGCAGATGAAGGTGGTTTGCACGGTTTACACAAATGAAGGCGGTTTTCATATGATCACTCATCTATAATATATATATATATATATATATATATATATGTATGTATGTATGTATGTATATGTATATTGGTCATTGTGGTTTAGTTTTGGAAACAACAACTCTATCATTTGCGTAGAAGACATATGACATGTCTGTGTACATCATACCTTTCTAAACCCGGTTCTCGAACGAATTATACTGGGATTATTTGGTTCAGTTTGTTTTTACATTGAACACAATAAAGGATTGTACCTTTATATATCCATGTCAACTTTATATCTACTTTTTGTTCACAATTACCACCCTGATCTTAAATGACAAATGTTTTGGCACAACAAACAAAGCAAATATAAAAACGAAAAGTAACTGATTTATTGTGAGTCATCGATATTGATTCAAGTATTTGTTTTGTAGACATCTAAACCGATACTCTCTGAAGAAGGGAAAACGCTAGGTCTCATTGATGACGTTGTGCCTCCTCAAGAGTTGTTGAAAGTCTCTAGGCAATGGGCATTAGACATCGCCAACGAGCGTAAACCTTGGGTCCGCTCGCTTCACTGTGTAGACAAGATTGGTTCGATATCTGAAGTGAATGAGGTAATTAAGTTTGCTAGGCACCAAGCCAAACGAACCGCGCCTAATTTGACACATCCTCAGGCGTGCCTCGATGTAATTGAGGAAGGCATCGTGCAGGGAGGACACCCCGGTGTTTTGAAGGTACAAAATTGATGTAACCGCGTCATTTCCTTTTGTCACTACAACAAAATTGATTTTAAAAGATGCTAAAAATGAAGAAACGTTCTAAAAATTTACTTTGTATGACTTAAGTTTATACATCAAACCAAAAAACATCATATCTAAAAGTGTTACAATAGGTTTATAAGACGCTTTCAGGCATTTTAAACAGTGATTTAGGACGCTTTTAAAACAAAGTATCGTATATGACACTATTTGAAAAAATGTCCTATAAAAAGATAGTTTTATAGAACATTCCTCAAAAGTGTCCTATAAAATAGCTAATAAGACACTTTATTTTTTAAGCATCGTAAAAAACTTGTTAAAACGCCTAAAATTGTCTTATAAACCTATTATAACTTTTTTAGATATGACGTTTTATAGTTTGGTCCTATAAACATAAGTTCTATAAAGCTATTTTATTAAGACGTGTAGATAATCTAGACGTCCTATAAAGCCAATTATGTTGTACTGTGTAGTAATATTTTACTCTAAGATTACCTCGTTGCACGAAATTCTTTGAAAATATCGAATATAATTAGTATTTTAAATATTTGAATATAATTAAAAAAAACATTCTTATAAACTAAACTTGCTTTTCGTATGTGAGGTTTTGTGTTCGAGTATTTTTATTCATTTTTTTCCATAAACATAAAAAACTAGAAATTAACAGCTAAAAACTAAGAAAATGATTGAAACGGAATTCGAACCCGAACCTGAGATGGGAGAAAAATGGTCCAAACCAACTCTGTTAAGACAAACTTGTGCCACCGTATCCTAATGAACTGGGTCTTCCCGTGTCCTCATAGGTCACTGATTCGAGTCTTTTCAGGGCCAAAGAGGATTTTTCGGACCGTAATCTTTTGGGCCCATGGGATTGGTCAATATGTGCACAAGATGGCCTAGACACTCACAGTTACCCAAAAAATTGTTTCACCTTCGTGGGTGAATACCGTTTTGGCCTAAAAAGTCGTTATCATTGTGCGAACTAAATTTTATTCCTCAGGAGCGAGAAGTGTTTAGCGATCTTGTTGTTTCAGACACCTCGAAAGGTCTTGTTCACGTGTTCTTTGCACAACGTGCAACCTCAAAGGTAACACAGTTGGTCGAATACTCTAAACACGAACGTTCTGTTTCTTGAATATTTTCTTTAAGCTCGACTTATATTTTTTTTGTCATGGAAAGGTACGTAATGTCACTGATAAAGGGATCAAGCCAAGGGCGGTCAAGAAAGTTGCTATCATCGGTGGAGGTTTAATGGGTTCGGGAATAGCTACATCCCTTATAGTTAGTAATACGTACGTTGTTCTTAAGGAAGTCGACTCCGAGTATCTTCAAAAGGGGATAAAAATGATCGAAGGTAATCTCTCCTCCGTTTTTAATAAAATTAGTTCGTTATGCGACTTATTCACCGTCTACATATGTGCTTGTGGCCACTGAGAGATTTATATCAGGGTTTTTCGAGTTTTCACTACTCCACGAGTCAAGATTTTTTTCAACAACTTTTGTCGTAGAAAAACTTAAACGGTACTATTTGCTTGTAGAAAATGTCCGAGGTTTGGTTGCGAAGAAAAAGTTGTCACAACCCCGAGCGGAGAAAGCGTTGTCGATGATTGAAGGGGTATTGGACTACTCGGAATTCAACGATGTGGATATGGTCATAGAGGTACGTTCGTATTTCGTTAACTAACAACGCCATATTCTTTTGTGAATCCAGTTGCATAAAATGAACAGATGATTTCGCTAAAACCGCAAGGCAAAGTTGGCAACTTTAATTTCTAAAGATTTTCGATGACAGACCGTAACTATAAATATTTTTGATGACAGACTGTTACTGAGGATCTTCAGTTAAAGCAAGAAATCTTCGGTGAAATCGAGAAGGTGTGTCCCCCTCATTGCATTTTCGCAACCAACACGTCGGCCATTGACCTCGACTTAATTGGAGAGAAACTGGGATGTCAAGATCGAGTCGTGGGCGCACATTTCTTCAGGTTGAGTGACGTAAAACCCGTATCTTTAAAATGTTCTCTATACGTTTTTCTTTGAAGTTAACGAAAGGAAATATGCGCAGAAGACATATTAAGGTCATGTTTGGCAACTACAAGTTAGCTTACTTTTTAAGCTTATTTAAAAATCTCTGTTTGGTTAGTCTTGAGCTATTGATAAGCTAAGTAGCGTTTCAATAAGCTCCAGAGCTTTTTCCACCTTTTTCGAACTATGCCATTTATGTTTTTCCAATTAATTTTCCAACTTGTCTTTTTAGGTCATTTTACATTGTCATCTAGCTTATCAACTACTCTTTTACCAAACATTACTAGTTTATCAACTAGCTTATTAGCCAACAGTTATCAGTTACTTTGCCAAACGTTGGCCTCTAAACAATATGCAAACCCTAGACCCTCTTCTAAAGATACATATGTGAACTGACATTACAGATTATTCATATAGGTTCATATATGCATCTTCAAATGGATTTTTTTTCTTCAATATTTCACATATGAATATTTTCTTAACCTTCTCACGATATTTAGTCTTCTTATTTGAACCTCCCACCGCTTGATACATCATCTAAAGATGATCAACATCAACGCTTATGAGCCAACACGTTAATTTTTTTTTCCCGAAATGATGACAGTCCTGCTCATTTGATGCCGTTGTTGGAGATCGTTCGAACCGAAAAGACTTCCGTACAAGTGATCATCGATCTCATGACAGTCGGGAAAATCATAAAGAAAGTCCCTGTCGTCGTGGGAAATTGTACGGGCTTTGCCGTTAATCGCGCCTTCTTTCCATACAAACAAAGTGCACACATGTTGCTTCATTTAGGTGTCGACTTGTTTAGAATCGACCGACTGATCCGCAACTTCGGGTTCCCAATGGGACCATTCCAGTAAGCTTCTTTCCTGTGAATTTTTAGCTGTTTGGTTCACGTTGGGAAATGAAAATGAAATGACATGAAATGCCGTCATTATATTATATAAAAACGAATGGTTTGTCTTATTTTTATATTCATTTATGAGTGCTTAATAGATATAGAAAACAGCTTAATGTAAGGTTGTTTTAATTCAGCTTGGTATTGTAGGCTTGAAGACTTGAGTGGATATGGTGTAGCAGTTGCTGTTAGTAAAAGATATGCCACAGCTTTTCCTGATCGATCATTCTACTCTCCTCTTACTGAGCTTCTAATCAAAGATGGACGAAATGGTAACTTTCGTTACACACACTATATATATATATATATATATATATATATATATATATATTTGAGATCATGTAAGATCAGACTGTTTTCATGAAACCAATTAAATAACACTGAACTTCACACTCAATTTGTTCGTTGTTTTTTCATTCCTTCACAAAGAATTGTTGTGAAGTTTCAGTGTTATTTTATGGTCTCACAGGTCGAAAAACAAGCATCTCACATGAACTCAACCTTTTATATATATGTATATATATATATATATATATATATATATAGAGAGAGAGAGAGAGAGAGAGAAGGGGGGAGGTTTAAGGGAAATCACCAAAATATGAAAAATTGATGAACACCCTAATAACCGGTAGCGGAACACATGCCTTTTAACCGGGGTGACTATATTTAAGGAGAAGTGGAAAAAATAAATCTTTAACAGAGTAGACTAAGTTTTTTCTACATAAAAGACAAAAAATCGTAGGGTCTGCCCAAAGGCCCCTATAGACCTCTGTCGTTGCTAATAACCATTCATCTATATGATATGCACATATGCATACAAAGAATTAAAAATATTTCTATGCATGTGTACATGCTATACACATGTGCATACTGGACAAATTACTTATATGTACATGTGCATAACATACATATAAATGATTAATAAAGTGTTCCTCAGTTTTTCATTTTTTGTGGTATACTAGAACCTAATCCTATATATATATATATATATATACACACACACACATATAGGGGAATAATCAAATGAGAACCACATATATTATAAGAACGGTGAGAACTTTTACCTTAAAATATTGTCCCACATTATTTTTTTTCATTGAAGGCTAGGATTTAACTTATTGATAACATATATTTGTTTCACTATGTGAAACTCTTCACGTGTATCTTTTTTTTCATAGACACGTAAAACAGTTTAATCGATATGTTAAATTATGGTCTTAGATGAAAAAACCATTTGAAATAACACATGATGCATCTGTTACCTTTTTGTAGTTCTCACATGATTAGCCCCATATATGTGTGTGTGCACAAATGTTATATATTTCATTCCTTGTTATCTGTCAATCACGGGTCACGGTTGTTTCAGGTAAAAACAATGGGAAAGGGTATTACGTTTACGAAAAAGGTAGCAAGCCAAAGCCTGATCCTCTCGTGCTACCAATTATCGAGGAGTCGATAAGGCTAGCCAATCTTATGCCGGAAGGAAAGGTAAGAAAGGAGGAACCTTTCTAGTTTGGGGCGTATTTCAGCCACCACCCACCCTACCATATGGCGATTTGAGCCTAAGCATGCTTGACTTGTTAAAAAGTCCGGTAGGCTTAGGCTCGGCTCACGACTTTGACTCGTGAAGGCAATGGTTCTTATAAGACCGTTATAGGCTTTATACAAGCACAGGCCGTTGTTCAGCTTAGACAAGCTCAAGCCTTGGCTTGGCTTGGCTTATGCAGGGTAGTCTTGAGGTTTTGGATGTCCATGGCAGAAACCCAAAAAAATATGTCTAAAACATATATATATACACACACACCCACACATATTATATATAGAGGGTTGGGTTCACGTGAGACAAGGTTGTTTTCGTGAGACACGATTTTTACATTTGAAACTTCATAACAAAATGTTGTGAAGATAAAAAAAAGTCGAATCTTCACAACAAAAAGTGTAAAAAATCGTGAAGTTTCAAGTGTAAAAATCATGTCTCGCGTGAATCACCCCTTTTCTAAGTTCATTTAGGAACGCTAAATGTTTTAGGAACTCAGGAATCACCCCTTTTCTAAGAATTCATGATGCATAACGGATAAATATTCATGATAAATATCGTGATAGATATTCATAATTAATAATATTCATCATGAATACTCAGAATAAGGATGCATCCTAGGTTCCTAAAATATTTAGCATTCCTAAATGAACCAACCCCTATATATATATGGGTTCGGTTCACGTGAGACTAGTTTGTTTTCGTGAGACTCATGAGAACACAAAATAACACTGAAACTTCATAGAAAAACATTGTGAAAGTACAAAAAACACTGAACCCTCAAACCAAAAACGTTGTAAAGGTTTAGTGTTATTTATGCCAAAAAAAGAAAACTGGTTTCACATGAACCCAAGACCATTTATCGATTTAGGGCAAATTGTGAGGGTAAACAGTCATTGAGAGCGGATCATGAGAGTAAACCATGTTTTCAAGGTAACTGATTTTGGTATAAAAAAAATGTGATATTACATCTAAGGTATCAAAATGAAAGTTTTGAAAGTACGTTACATAAAATAGGAATCAGATCAAAGTACAAGTATGTTGCATCTCCATGCAATTTACCCTTTTTAGTACAAAATACTCTAAAAAATAATGTGTATGCTTGCATTATCTGTGGCAGCCCATATCCGTCACCGACCAAGAAATAGTCGAGATGGTACTCTTTCCGGTGGTGAATGAGGCATGTCGTGTTCTAGAGGAAGGAATCGTTACTCGAGTAATTGACCTTGACATTGCATCTGTTCTTGGCATGAGTTTCCCTTCTGAACGGTACGTCATCTTTTGAAATATATAATATTTATATACAGCAAATCCTAACACACTCGTCACCTTTAGTACGTCTATAGTAGTTGTCAACTTTTTCACCCGTTATATGACGTCTATCGTTGGCATTTCCAACGATTATAATCAATTTCCCGTTACAAACGACCCATCGTTCGTTCTTATGTACATGCAAAAAAAGAACACTACACGTTACAAGAATACGCGACTTTGGACAAAAAGCATCAAGAAAAATATTCTTTTTGCGTTCGCACAATTCGTCTACATTTGGTCGTTCTTTACGAACTATGGTTTTCCCTTTTACATTTCACATAATCGGCCCGGTCCGGTCCGGGACCGCCAGAGGACCAGTAAAGGATCGGCCCAGGACGGTTATAGGACCGAAAATCGGGACCGGTTGGGGGTTTTTGGCAGTTTCGTGGGACCGGGACCGGTTATGGACCGGCCCGAAAATTCAAATAATTTTATAAATAAATGTATTTTAAAATAATTTTATAATGTATTTTTTTTAAACGACGTAATTTTTATTATATTAAAACGCATTTTTTTGTATATTTGAGTGACCCAATTACAAATTTTATAATGTATTAAAAATATATATCATTAAAAAAAAGGGACTGGCGGCCCATAACCAGGTATGAAGAACTTTGACCGGTCTTACAATTTTCGACCGGACCGGTTATGGCCGGTTACGAGAAAGTTTGGGACCGATTAGGACCAGCCCGAGACCGGTTTTTGGCCATCACTAGTATGGGGTATACCATGGAAGGATACTCGCACAATGTACCGAGATATATCTCAATTTTAATGTTCATTTTATTCTGTCTCTGTCGATATAATACGTTTTTATGCGATTTTGAAAAAACGATAATGTTTTTATTTTTAAATAAAATATAAATTTGAAGACATCATTAAATTTAAAAAAAAATACAACGATATTAGTATTAAATTTACTATTTAAAAGTTCTCGTTTAATTATTATTATTATTAAGTATTAATTAATTTATTTTTTCTTTAATAATAATTAAGTATTCAGTCAGAACTCAATGGTTATGTTAATTATATTCTAAATTTTTTATATTTAAAATGAGATTTTTATTATATACTTGAGTTTATCTCCAGTTAGTTACACGAATTAAAAAATAAATATTTAATAAGTTGTACTTAAGCACAATTTACATATAATCTTGATTTAACAGTTGTGTGGTTTTGGGTGCAGTGGTGGCATCATGTTTTGGGCAGATTTGGTTGGGAGTAAACACATATATACAAGTCTCAAGAATTGGTCCGAAGAATATGGCAACTTGTATAAACCATCAAGATTCTTGGAAGAAAGAGCTATGAATGGTGTCCCATTGGTGAGAAATCTTAATCCCCTTTTTTCGTTCATCCGTTCACGAATCTGTTTTCGTGCGCGTTTGTTCATCTACGTGCTCGTTCACTCAGTTAACCGTTTTCTTTAAACTTCTTCTAAAAAAGATCGGAAAAACAAGATACAGAGGAAAAATGCATTTGTGTAACATATTTGTCAGATATACCCAAGCGAGGCTTTTCACATAAACAACTGCTCTACTTTTTGAGGTAGAGGTCAGGTTTGCATACATCTTGCCATTTCTGGACCCTACCTTCGGTAGGATATACTAGGTTTGTTCTGTTTAGTTCGGTTTATTTGTGATATATGTAGAACCCCTTTATATCACTACAACAAGATTAGGATTATAGGATGCCAAAAAAGTTAAAAGTAGCCTAATAGATCGTTTTATAAGACTTAATTTATAGAACTAAAGGATAAAGTGTCATATTTAAAGGTGTTGTAATAAACTTATAGGATATTTTTGGAAGTTGTAATAAGTTTTTAGAATATTATTATTAATAAAAACGTTGTAGTAGCTATTTTATAGGACAATTTTTGAAATAGTGTCTTATAAAAGCAAATGTTATGTAAAAATATGGATTTATAGGTTACTTTCTCAAAAGTGTCCTATAAAATAGATAATGTGACGCTTTGTATTGAAAATGTGCTAAAAAAAACTTGTTAAGATGTCCAAATCGTTCTATAAACTTGTTACAACGCATTTATATATGACGTTTTATTTTGTAGTCCTATAAATTAAGTCTTATAAAACAGTCTGTTATGACGCTTAGAAATCGTTGCATCCTATAAACCCAAATTTCTTATAATGGATTACTCTTCAAAAGAGCCATTTGAAGAGAGAATTGAGGTTCTCAACATATATTGAAGTAGAATGGTCTAAGTCTAGGCGTTGTGGAACTCTAACACGCCCCGTCCAACGGAGGATACATGGGCGTAGATGTCCTGCTCTGATACCATGTGAAATATGTGGAACCCCACATCAGATTACTCTTCATAAATGCCATTTAAGGAAAGTATGGATATTCCAACATATATTGAAGGAGAAAGGAGGAAAAAAGTCAGTGGAAATGAAACTTTAACAGTATTCATATTGATCTCTTTTGCAGAGTGCACCTGTTTCAGCAACACCTAAAACCACAAGTTCTAGTTCTCAACCGTAAGCAACTGGATTATGAATCAAGTTGATATGCATCAATCAAGTTACGTGAAGCCGATTGTCTAATAAAAATGGGTCTTTTTTCTCAAGACTTCGGCAACAATTTAAATTTGCAGTGTTCGTTGCTTTGTAGTGTTCGTTGCTTTGTTGTCTTTATTTTATATTCGAATTGTTAAAGAATAAAGTTAAGGTTTCGATCGATTACAATCAGTTAAGGTTTTTTCATATTTGTTCCAAAATAAGTGCCCATTTTAAAAAATAAATAACCTAATTTCCAAATATACCCTTAATTAATGCACAAATATTTAATAATTGACAAGATATATGTATTAAGTAGGGGTAAAGTTGTCATTTGGTTAACAAAAAAGTATATTAACTATTATCGTCTAAAATTATGTGTTATTTCAATTGTGAACACTTATTTTGGGACAGAGAGAGTAATATCTAAATAAAATGTCTCTTACCCGATAAAATACTAATTAAATAAGAGTCAACACCCGCACTTCTCATATAAAACGACTATGAATTTTGACAGTGTAAATCGTAAACGTCTCTTACCTGATAAGAAGCAACGAATGTTTAATAATTTAAGGTAAATGACCATTTATCATTATTTACATAAAATCTTACCAAATTGGTTGAAAATACTAAAATACCCTAAATTTATATTGATTTTGTATTTAAAACATTAAAATGTAAATTTTAATAAATAAAATAAAAACTATTAGTTGGAAGATTAGGGGTTCGGGACCCAAGTTACCATGTTGATGTGGCGAGTGATGGGATGAAATTTAAATAAATTGAGTTGGATACCATATCACTCGTCACATTAGCATGGTAACCTGTTCATACTTCAACTGGTTACCCGGGTACTTAAATGTTTAAAACTTTACATCTTAGATATCAAAATGAAAGTTTTGAAAGTACGTTACCTAAACTAGGAATCAAGTTAAAATATGTTACTTTTCCATGCAATTTGCCCTTTAATTTAAGAGAAAAAAATGAATTATGGTTTTCTAAGAAATACGGAATTGAAGCCACTTATATTTGTATAAGGGTCTAAAAACTACTGTAAAAGATATTGATATTATCTATGAGATAATTATGGCTAAGCTAAAGAAACTGCTATCTAGGAGATAATGGCTAAGCTAATCTACGATCTATATCTATATGAGAATTCTATTTTACAAGTAACCACAATTTGGTTGAACGGTTAAATGATGAGATTGTTTTATATGCTTTATGTGCAAGTCTTCAATGCAATCTTGCTTTGAACTTTATTTTGAGAGACGTTTTTCAATTTTTTAGTTGATTTAGAGACTTTTTCGGTGTTCTGGTTGATTCCAAGACTTTTTTCGGTTTTTAGTTGATGTTTATTGTATTTTCTAATATCTCATAGCACCCTTCAAAGTTTAACAGGTACAGCTTTGATACCCTAAAAAGTTTTCTACTTGCTAAAAAAAAGTTGAACGGGTGTACCGAACCCCACTTAAAACTTTACAGGTCCGCCCCCGCTAGATGATGAGATTGTGGTCCCATAATGATTCATTGATAGTGATAAGATGGTGTTCTTTGTTCTTAATTTTCAGATTGAAACATACCAACGAAGATGGCGTTTTCCTTTGTTCACACGCATATATATAGAGACAGAAGTTTCATTTAGTAATGTACAATTGATTTGGAACTCAGAAATTGTCCATGGCGCACCACGTGTCTATCTTCATGATGAATATTCAACATGAATCACACATTCATGATAAATATGAACGTGTTATTCATCATGAATCATACATTCATCAAGAATATGTTACAACATTCATGATTAATAATACGTTCATATTCCTGATGAATATGTCTTGTTTCCTGTTGTGGTGGTCCTCCGATTCCTAATCAATCTTAGGTTCCGAACAACACTTACCCATACACACACACACACACACAGGCCGTCCCTGGGGGAGGGCGACACGGGCGCACGCCCAGGGCCCAAAAATATCAGGGGCCCAAAATTTTCCCCTAAACTACAACAGTAGTCTATAAGATTTTAATAAACTAAAGAAATCCAAAAACTGTAACATATAATTAGAGACAAAAAGAATTTAGTAGAAAATAAGGGCTTAAAAATATATCAACTAATTACATTGGAGAAGAAAAAAAAAAAATTGGTCAYTCATTATATGCTATTGTTTATTTCCTCTCTACTTTTTTTTATCTCCAACAAGGTCCAATGATATTGGCTATTGTTATCTCTAAAAACTTGACTATTTTCGTACTTCAATAATTCAAAGTTAAGATCATGTGCTTGCTATTGCTATATATATTTTTTGGATATTTTATCAATTTATGCTTTTATTGACTATTGCTATTTGGTTATCTTGTTCTAATTGTTTTTATTGACTATTTTATCTATTTTTGATTCTACATAAAATATTTTACTATTATTTGACAATCAATCTATTGTTCTTATAATTTTTGACTTGTTTCTTTTGTGATTAATCAATAAATTTTTTCTACTAGATGTATTTAGTAATGTCTCTTATATATGTCATGTTCCATAAAATTTTAATCTTAACCACAAGGGTGGTGCCTGATTGGTTTG